GTCATTCAGCATGACTGAGTAGATTTTTAAGCTAATGCAGCTGCATTCCTGTTATAAAATATCAATGGTCTATTATGATAAAAAAAGGGGGATCTTATCAAAAAACTGAACACAGAGGTTTATATCAAGTCACCAGAAATGTAACACTTGTCTTTACTTTGCAATGTGCATGGCAAACCAAACAAAACAGGAAAATGACAAATTCAAATTAATTGATGTAGTTTTACCCTAGTGCCTCTGATTAGTCCATAATTTAATCTAAAAATGCATTGAAATACCCATATGTTCTTTGTTTATAATTAAAATTGTTGTTAAGAAGTTCTAAGGTCAGTGAGGTCATTGTCATTAAGAATTTTTAGAATTTAGTGTCACTGGTGAAGTCTTGACCTTGGTGTTAGGATGTGCTTAAAGTTCATCACTTAAGACCTTCTAAACATTGCTAAGATAAAGAATAACAACAAAAACCATTTTTGACTCGCCTGCGATGAAAGTCACAGTATGCGAGACATAGATATTACTATCTGGCAGTGGCGGAGTAAACTAATTGCATAAAGCTTTATATTTCAGAAGGTAGAAGACCTGGATTCTTCATACCTTGTATGCAGAAACCTTATGCTACGAAGTTTCTGTCTGTAATATGTTCATTGTCCTTGACGTCATTTTCATGATTCAGCGACTGCTTGAAAAAAAAAATTTAGTTTTTTTGTCATGTTAATTTCTTACTTGTTATGAGTAATAGGATAACTATATTTGGTATATGGGTTCCTTGCAACGTCTAAATGTCCCAACAGACAGGGTTCACCTGTCCTCGACCTCATTTCATGGATCAGTGGTCAAGGTTAAAGTTACGTGATTAGGTCCCTTTCTCTGATACTATAAGCAGTAGGTCAACTATATGTGGTGTATGGAATAATTGTAAGGGTTAGATGAAAGTCTGGCAGGTTTCATCTGACCTTACCCCATTTTCATGGTTCATTGGTCAATGTTAAGTTTTTGTATTTTGGTCTGTTTTACAAGTACTTTAAGCAATAGGTCAACTATATTTGGTGTATGGCATGATTATAAGGAGTACCTGTCAGTCTGGCAGGTTTCATTTAACCTCAACCTCATTTTCATGGTTTATTGGTCAATGTTATTTTTTTGTGTTTTGTTCTGTTTTCCAAGCACTATAAGCTATAGGTGAACTATATTTGGTGTATGAAATGATTGTAAGGTGTACATGGCTGACTGACAGGATTTATCTGACCTTGACCTCATTATCAGGGATCTTTAAAAATGTTAAGTTTATGTGATACTTGTAGTAAAACCTTTATCTTTAAGACTTTTAACATAAAATCAATGGTCAGTAAAGCAGGCGAGACATTTCAGTGTGTGCACTCTTGTCTTTTAATATATATTATAAAAAAGCCCAAGTGTGATCACATTTAGACTGCACTACGACAGAAATTGCTGCATATAAAAAAAGCGTATCAGTGCAATATTTGCTATTATGCAGGAATATAAATTCCAGTATGATTCCAATATCATACAATTTCAATCAAATCTTGGAACCTGCATTTTGTCAGGTGTTTAGACAAAATTAACAAATACCAATAAATATATGTCTGAATATCAATTATACAATTCCAAATTTAGGCTAGGATCAGGCTAATATAGTTTATTGAAAACACTACCATCAAGTAAAAATGTGTGATGGAATTAATTGTCTATACTAATGGTACAGACTGATGTGTGCTGCAAACTGCTGAACATAAAGTGCTGATTTATTTGTAATTCATGAGATTTATGTTGTGTACATCCTATAGGTAACACACCAACAGACAAACAAACAATAAAACTTACTCATATCATTTGTATCCTTATTCATTAGTTAGACTAATAGTTTTGTTTTGAAGCAAGAGGAGACATGTCTTTTTTGTCTTACTATGGACTGATTTAGAGTATCCTAGTGTATGCATCATAAAGTATAAAAGATACAATCCCTTGATGGGCCACCATTTCTGAATATGAATTCATTGTAGTTATGGAATTATGCCATCTTTGATGACTACCTTGTATCTTTAAAACTACAGTTGTGGTATCAATTAGTTCTTTTTTAATTTCATTTATGATTGTCTACCTGCCAACACAGACATTCAAAGTAAGAAATTGAGATAGAGTTGCCTCCCTTGTAACATGTTACAGTATTAGCAGTTTCTTTTTTAATTTATTTTCAGAGGATTATAATTGCTATTTCCTGTGAATACAAAATTACTTGAGATAGGAGTAATCAAGTTGGAAATCATTTTAAAGCTTTTAATGATAAATCAAATTCAGGGAAAGTCAACACCTGTACCTGTTTCCTGAATATCAAAAGGGAAGAGATGTACCTATTTCATGAATATACGTTTAGCAATACAAATTTTCAAAAGAGATATTTTTATAGATGTAGAGGCATAAGAAATTTTACTTTAGATAGATTGCCATGTCAAAAAAAATGATTGTGAAAAATGCCTTTACATTTTACATCATGTTTTATTATCATAGACTGTTGTGTGTTTTCAACCCCACCCCCTTTTTGTTTTTCATCATGTGTGTATGCTGGAGAAAAGCATCAACTAGAATTGAGTTAGCTCTATACAAATGTTCTTATGTTATCCATTTCTGACTACTACGAATCTCATGTAATAGTGCAACATTTGAGTGACTATAACCTTCATTTGATGCTCAAGTGGGTTTGTTCGAGTGCAGGAAGTCATGATTTTGATCCCTGTGACCTAAAATTGGTTTTTGCTGCTTCTACACCAAGCAGTCAGCATTTAGGAGTTAGAGCAAAGACTTTATGATTCAGAATAATCTCTCCGGTGAGGATGACAATTCTTGCTGCAGACTGTTGCCTTGTAAACTAGTATATTAAAAATCTAGCTCAGCATGTTGGTCTAGTTCAAAACAAACATATCTCATTAACATGTTCTCATCCTGATTCGAATGTAATTTTTGCCCCTGAAGATATAAACACCAACATCATTGTTCTCAGAGATACATCATAGTATATGTATGATGTTTCAATGCTACAGTCCTCACATATAGTATAGTAAATTGGTCATAATGACCTACATTCACAAATTTCCGGTAAAATAATATTGGGTATGAATTATCTTAAAGACAGAGCGTCCATGTCTTACATGCACATTCCATATTTTTTAGTTTAATAAAAAATCAACGTGTACTAGAGATGAACCATTTTCAAAGATCTTTTACATGCTCAAGCTGATTGCTTGTTTTGATTTTTCTTTTTGACCAAGATTTAGTTCACTGTCTTTTTTCATCTGTTTGTGTCTAGGATTTTCAACTGTACTTGTTAACAGTCAGTGTTTGATAAAATCTGGGATTTTTTGTAACATATTTTCATGAAATTCTGAAAAGTTTAGGATTAATTATTCCCAGATTTCCCATATTATCGCAACTGCACAATATGTTTCAGGTTTAAAGAGTTTTAAGAGACTCAAGGTGATATTTGAATTTCACAATTCAGCACTTAAAGAGGATTTTGTACTACGTACATCAAATGTGTACTTCCTGTTCGTTAAATTGATAGTTATAATTGGCCTGATTTTACATAAGTCTCCCTACTCCAACAAAGAGTGTTTCCTAATCAAATTAGCATGACTATGAAAAGGTTGACATTAAAGTGAGCTAATCAGCCAAATTTTCTCTCACTTATAGGGACCCCTCCAGGAAGTGGATGGGGAAAATTTATTGGTAAAAAGGCTTTAATCTCATTTTAAGTATCTTCAACAATATTATTTGAGTGTTAGTATTATGTAATAGTTAAGGGGGACATCAAAGGTGTTTTTTTAATAATATTTACAAAATGGTTGCATGAATGTGTGAAAGAAATGACGAAATAATCATTTCCTTGCAAAATTAGATTTTATATAATGGTTGAAAGAGAGATTGAGTATTCAAGTGATTTTGACAGATGAAAAATGAAAATATATAACCTTTTGACCCCTCTGACAGGTGATAATCAATACTGAATGAGGTTTTTATCACTTTTCCAAGGATACCTGGGTGTTTTAAATGAATTTTTCTGTTTGTATGAGTGAACCACCTTGTACACAAACAGGAAATGGGAAGGGCTACTTGTCCTACTTTTTTTTTTTTTTTAGATTCCTAACTTTTATCAAATCAATAATTCTATTTACAATAAGATCCAGAGAGAATTTTACACCATAGTTAATCATGTATTAGCAAATATAAATGTAGAGAATGTACAGCTTCAATGAGAAGAATTGATTTTTATGTCTGTAAGGTGCGGTATTTAATGAATGAAACTAGGCTCCAATCGATTAATGTAACTTATGAAATATTGAATATTAGAAAAACAGTCCAGGAGATGCTGGCAGGATCAAAATCTAGTAGTTAATTCAGTTAGGAGTGTCTGCAGGGGTACAATATGGGTTTTCAATTTATGTGAAAGTATAATAATTATAATTTTTTTTTAAATGTAATTAGTTGATTACATATTTTACCATCTACTATTAGAGTCAAAGTTATTCCCCTGTAACTGTTTTTTTTTAACCTTTTATATAAGTACTTTTATCTAGGTTTCTATAGATTTTACTACTTTTAATACCTAGAAGTCAAAACTCATGAAAATAAGGTGTTTTACCTAAAAATTTATACTTTGAGGACGATCAAGTTCAAAGACAACAAAACGTTTGTGATATATCATGTATCGTAAGAGGGATGGAAGTATCAGTTACTCTGGAGAAATTTGTTCAGAATATTTCATTTGGTGGTATTACCTGAGTGTCTTTAGTTTGTACTTTTAATATTCTTGTGATAAAAGTCATAAAGTTAAAAGGCTTTATATCTAAAACTTCTAAATATATCAGACCATTTTCCAACAAATAATTTATGAGAACCATAATTTATATCATATGTGTAATCTGGTTGTACTTTAAGGGCTTATTCCATTATCAAAAAGATGGATACTAATTACTTATACATTGTATATGCATTTTTCTGAAAATTTAGATTTGGTTAAAAAGAAAAAAGAAAAGAAATTAAAGAATGAATGAATTTATATGAGAAAATGACAAAAAAAAATAGAAGATTAATGGTCGACTGGAATCGATTGTAGTCATAATTTTCCAAATCAAGACATTATTAAAGAGAATTCTGTGGGAGGAAGATTTATATGATAATACCAGATGTTGGTAGAGAAAGTACATAGATCATTGGACTTATATTTTATCCTCAATTACACTATTATTTGCATTCTGTCAAAGAAATAGTGAAGAAATCGGTCATTGGCTGAATTATTTTGAAATATCCCTTTAGGGAAGAAAATAATCTTTTATTGTGATAATGTGGTATTTTGTTGTATTAAACTTTGTTTTATTTGCTCTTTCCCTCCATATGTTTCTGAATACTAAGTCAATAACCAAGTCCCTGGATAATAAGTTTAGGAAGTCTGCCCTGAAGTGTCATTGAAGGGGGATTTAAATTTTGGTAAATTAAACATCCTAAGTAGGTCAACTAGTGGATGATCCACTTATATTTGAATGGACCAACATTCAATTAAATACTTCACATTCTCTTCTGGGTTTTATTTATGGCCTTATCCAATCCTTCTATTTATATAAAAGGTTTGATGACTTTGGGATAGAAAATTTATAGAAATTGTTCTGTATTTTGTAGAATTTATGCACTTGCTGATAGCTTAGATTAACATATTCTTTATGAAATTAGTTTATAACTTAAATATTGTGTAATGGAATTTCTCCTGGTTAGATTGGCAAACAGATTGTAACAAAATTTTTAATGGGAAAAGTTAAAAGGCATTTAAGAAACTACAAATCCTTGACCTGTATCACATGCAGATTTATTAACAATGAAAATAAATTTGGTGAGTCCTAAGTACTTTTCTGGAAATACCTTCATCACGAAAACACGAAACCAAAAATTTGAAAGCCAGGAATGAATAAGTACTTTAGGAGCTATATGACCAAAAGAGAAGCAAAACAGAATAGCCCTAACAATCTAAGGTCAACTAGGCCTGAGGGAGCCCAAATCATCGAGGGTCAACTAGGCCTAAGGTAGCCCAAACCATCTAAGGTCAACTAGGCCTGAGGGAGCCCAAACCATCTAAGGTCAACTAGGCCTGAGGGAGCCCAAACCATCTAAGGTCAACTAGGCCTGAGGGAGCCCAAACCATCTAAGGTCAACTAGGCCTGAGGGAGCCCAAACCATCTAAGGTCAACTAGGCCTGATGGAGCCCTAACAATCTAAGGTCAACTAGGCCTGAGGGAGCCCAAACCATCTTAATGTCAACTAGGCCTGAGGGAGCCCAAACCATCTAAGGTCAACTAGGCCTGAGAGAGCCCAAACCATCTAAGGTCAACTAGGCCTGAGGGTGCCCAAACCATCTAAGGTCAACTAGGCCTGAGGGAGCCCAAACCATCTAAGGTCAACTAGGCCTGAGGGAGCCCAAACCATCTAAGGTCAACTAGGCCTGAGGGAGCCCAAACCATCTAAGGTCAACTATGTCTGAGGGACCCCAAACCAGCTTAAAGGTCAACTATACCTGAAGTCAACTAAGGCCTGAGGGAGTTGGATCCTTATAATTACTTTCTTAATGATTTCTTAATTTACCAATGGAAAATTTAGGAAATGTATAATATGAATCATGTCAGTGGTGTATCTTTATTTAGTGAAGGTTTTACAGATAAAAAAAATAAAGCAAAAGATGCAAATGTTAAGGAAGGAAGTTGTTACTGTTGTCTTTAGGAAGATTTTTAAGCAAAATGTGTTTTTTTTTATTATAAGTTATATCTGTACTGGAGACAGAAGTTGTCTTTTGATTTTGTTGGTCTTCTAATGTCTGCACATATGGTTGATGTAAGTGATCTTTGATCATCTGTTGTTCCAAAGTACAGAATACAGACTTATTGTTATTTAAACATTTAAACCTCCACCGGAAATGAAATCCAATAATTAAGGTTAGTAGCATTCGACCTGCTGAACTTGACTCAATCTGATCTAGATTTAGATATCTGTAGGAGTTTTTCATTAAATCAAATTGCATAGCAAACCACTATTATATAAATGGTTATGATAATATTTTCTGTAAACCACAGAAATATTCCCTCTGGAGTCTAGAGTATTGACACATAATCATGTGATTGAGTGGAAATTTTCAGAGTTAGGCCATTTGAAAGAAATTCTTTGGTTATCGCATGACAGGAACTCCAGATACTGATCTGGGTTAAATTAACTTTAGAAAATTGTATTAAATTCAAGGCTAATCTTTGGTCATTATTTAGGAGGGTCTTTGAGTTTGGATATTAATACAATTTTTTTTATGTGTATGGGGGTTTTATGAATTGAGAATAATGTTTGTAAAATAGTGAAAAGAAATGGATAACCCAAAAATTATTGAATTGATGACCATAAGGCTAACATAGAAAGAAATGAGACTTAAATGTCAAGAAATGTTTTTAAAATGAGATGAAATAAATTTTCAATAATGCAGACTAAGTGGTCTTTTCATCAAGACCCTCTTTCATTTTTCTTTTAAATGAAGTCTCCATAGTCAGTAAGGTTGTCATTTTTATTTATTTTTCTGAAAGGCAAATATACTTTTGAATTCCTTGAAGGACATTATAGTTATGTTATTTGATATGGATATTTAGTATCACAAGAGCTTGATGTGTCATAAAAAAGGTTAAATTGTCTTTGTTGATGGTCAAGTTAACATTTACAGGTTAAGATGCACATGAATATATGATACTGTCATGTTAAGATGCACATGAATATATGATACTGTCATGTTAAGATGCACATGAATATATGATACTGTCATGTTAAGATGCCCATGAATATATGATACTGTCATGTTAAGATGCACATGAATATATGATACTGTCATGTTAAGATGCCCATGAATATATGATACTGTCATGTTAAGATGCACATGAATATATGATACTGTCATGTTAAGATGCCCATGAATATATGATACTGTCATGTTAAGATGCACATGAATATATGATACTGTCATGTTAAGATGCCCATGAATGTATGATACTGTCATGTTAAGATGCACATGAATATATGATTCTGTCATAACAAGATGCCCATGAATGTATGATACTGTCATGTTAAGATGCACATGAATATATGATTCTGTCATAACAAGATGCACATGAATATTTAAAGTTTAAGTAATTGCATTTGTTAAGATTTGTTGAATTCTAACTTTCTTATTTACCATCAACCTCAGTTGTTTTCCAGTTCATTTTTTTCTTCTTCTGTCAATAAAATATGCTACAAATATTTTAAAAGGTTTATTTGTTTATAAGATCTAACAAAAAATTTTCTGGTATTAAATTTCAGTATTTAGAGAATAAAAATGAGGTACAAAATAATATCCTCAGATATAACCAGATGTTTTTATTCACAGCTTGAACTTGCATAATTTCAATGATGAGCCTTGAAAAGATTTTTTTTGTGATATATTTATGTCACTTTTAATGATATTTGATTCTAACTGACAAGATGTTACAGAGGATTTCTATGTTGTTCAGTACAAAATTAATGAGCATCTTTCATTTCCCTAATGTTATGGAATTTTGTTTGATAAATTGATGCGATTTCTAAGAGTGAAAATAATTTTATTGATATTTACTATGGCATGCTTTTATACAATTTGTTATAGATCGGGTCATGTACGTACATGTATTCTTATTCGCTCTATTTTGATTTGTCCTTGGCTTCATGAAAACTTTACAATTAAATCCACAGTTGGTTCTACGAAAAAATGCAATAAAAGTTTTTAATGTACCAAAGTTAGGTGATTGTTGCATTTTAATGCTAATAAATTACCAACTTAGTACTTTTTATGCCAACTACCAGTGTTGTTTTGTGTTAGCCTGCTAATCTGGAATGCTGGAGGTCAAAGGTTCTATTCCTGGCTCTGAAATCAAAGACTCAGTGTGTTGTTTAAGGGCTAAGCAGGGTTTTTTTTATCACATCAAGATTTGCTCTTCTCCAGAAGATTACCAGTACAAGCCCTAACTTCATGTATCCAAAATTTATCAGAACTATGTAACACATGTAATGCAAAGTTTTCCTATAAACTGCCAAATTTGATACCACATACCATGTTCTACATACCTTAAGCAATGGTTTCTCATATCAATAGATTTCTCATCAATATCCTAAATTGCTTCTTTTTTTTTATTCGCAATGAACATCAGTAAGTTTATTAGTCTGGATATGGCAGCAACATCTATTATTTGTACAAAGTTTAGTATTCAGATAGTTATAGGAAGCTACATAATCCATGTCTTGCATATAAAGTCTTATGCTCTGAAATTACTATTTGGCATGTATTTTCAGTTGTACTTGACCTCATTTTGATGGTTCATTAACTTATTAGAATTTAGGTCAGCTTATTAGTTAGTATAAGGAAAAGGACAACTATACTTAGTCTAATAAATCAATGTATGGTGAACATGTCTGTCTAACGTGAATAATAGGTCAATTATATTCTTTCTATAGTGGTACACATGTCTGTATGACAATTGTTACATGAACTTGACATCATTCAGTAGTTCATTGGTACCACATGTCTGTATGACAATTGTTACATGAACTTGACATCATTCAGTAGTTCATTGGTACCACATGTCTGTATGACAATTGTTACTTGAACTTGACATCATTCAGTAGTTCATTGGTACCACATGTCTGTATGACAATTGTTACATGAACTTGACATCATTCAGTAGTTCATTGGTACCACATGTCTGTATGACAATTGTTACATGAACTTGACATCATTCAGTAGTTCATTGGTACCACATGTCTGTATGACAACTGTTACTTGAACTTGACATCATTCAGTAGTTCATTGGTACCACATGTCTGTATGACAACTGTTACTTGAACTTGACATCATTCAGTAGTTCATTGGTACCACATGTCTGTATGACAATTGTTACATGAACTTGACATCATTCAGTAGTTCATTGGTACCACATGTCTGTATGACAATTGTTACATGAACTTGACATCATTCAGTAGTTCATTGGTACCACATGTCTGTATGACAATTGTTACATGAACTTGACATCATTCAGTAGTTCATTGGTACCACATGTCTGTATGACAATTGTTACATGAACTTGACATCATTCAGTAGTTCATTGGTACCACATGTCTGTATGACAATTGTTACATGAACTTGACATCATTCAATAGTTCATTGGTACCACATGTCTGTATGACAATTGTTACTTGAACTTGACATCATTCAGTAGTTCATTGGTACCACATGTCTGTATGACAATTGTTACTTGAACTTGACATCATTCAGTAGTTCATTGGTACCACATGTCTGTATGACAATTGTTACTTGAACTTGACATCATTCAATAGTTCATTGGTACCACATGTCTGTATGACAATTGTTACTTGAACTTGACATCATTCAGTGGTTCATTGGTACCACATGTCTGTATGACAATTGTTACATGATCTTTACATCATTCAGTAGTTCATTGGTACCACATGTCTGTATGACAATTGTTACTTGAACTTGACATCATTCAGTAGTTCATTGGTACCACATGTCTGTATGACAATTGTTACTTGAACTTGACATCATTCAATAGTTCACTGGTACCACATGTCTGTATGACAATTGTTACATGAACTTGACATCATTCAGTAGTTCATTGGTACCACATGTCTGTATGACAATTGTTACATGATCTTTACATCACTCAGTAGTTCATTGGTACCACAGAACTTGACATCATTCAATAGTTCATTGGTACCACATGTCTGTATGACAATTGTTACTTGAACTTGACATCATTCAGTAGTTCATTGGTACCACATGTCTGTATGACAACTGTTACTTGAACTTGACATCATTCAATAGTTCATTGGTACCACATGTCTGTATAACAATTGTTACATGAACTTGACATCATTCAGTAGTTCATTGGTACCACATGTCTGTATGACAATTGTTACATGAACTTGACATCATTCAATAGTTCATTGGTTCCACATGTCTGTATGACAATTGTTACTTGAACTTGACATCATTCAGTAGTTCATTGGTACCACATGTCTGTATGACAATTGTTACATGAACTTGACATCATTCAGTAGTTCATTGGTACCACATGTTTGTATGCCAATTGTTACATGAACTGACAATTGTTACTTGAACTTGACATCATTCAGTAGTTCATTGGTACCACATGTCTGTATGACAATTGTTACATGAACTTGACATCATTCAGTAGTTCATTGGTACCACATGTCTGTATGACAATTGTTACCTGAACTTAACATCATTCAGTAGTTCATTGGTACCACATGTCTGTATGACAATTGTTACATGAACTTGACATCATTCAATAGTTCATTGGTACCACATGTCTGTATGACAATTATTACATGAACTTGACATCATTCAATAGTTCATTGGTACCACATGTCTGTATGACAATTGTTACTTGAACTTGACATCATTCAGTAGTTCATTGGTACCACATGTCTGTATGACAATTGTTACATGAACTTGACATCATTCAATAGTTCATTGGTACCACATGTCTGTATGACAATTGTTACATGAACTTGACATCATTCAGTAGTTCATTGGTACCACATGTCTGTATGACAATTGTTACTTGAACTTGACATCATTCAGTAGTTCATTGGTACCACATGTCTGTATGACAACTGTTACTTGAACTTGACATCATTCAGTAGTTCATTGGTACCACATGTCTGTATGACAATTGTTACATGAACTTGACATCATTCAGTAGTTCATTGGTACCACATGTCTGTATGACAATTGTTACATGATCTTTACATCATTCAGTAGTTCATTGGTACCACATGTCTGTATGACAATTGTTACTTGAACTTGACATCATTCAGTAGTTCATTGGTACCACATGTCTGTATGACAATTGTTACTTGAACTTGACATCATTCAATAGTTCATTGGTACCACATGTCTGTATGACAATTGTTACATGAACGTGACATCATTCAGTAGTTCATTGGTACCACATGTCTGTATGACAATTGTTACATGATCTTTACATCACTCAGTAGTTCATTGGTACCACAGAACTTGACATCATTCAGTAGTTCATTGGTACCACATGTCTGTATGACAATTGTTACTTGAACTTGACATCATTCAGTAGTTCATTGGTACCACATGTCTGTATGACAACTGTTACTTGAACTTGACATCATTCAATAGTTCATTGGTACCACATGTCTGTATGACAATTGTTACATGAACTTGACATCATTCAGTAGTTCATTGGTACCACATGTCTGTATGACAATTGTTACATGAACTTAACATCATTCAGTAGTTCATTGGTACCACATGTCTGTATGACAATTGTTACAAGAACTTGACATCATTCAACATCATTCAGTAGTTCATTGGTACCACATGTCTGTATGACAATTGTTACATGAACTTGACATCATTCAATAGTTCATTGGTACCACATGTCTGTATGACAATTGTTACATGAACTTGACATCATTCAGTAGTTCATTGGTACCACATGTCTGTATGACAATTGTTACTTGAACTTGACATCATTCAGTAGTTCATTGGTACCACATGTCTGTATGACAATTGTTACATGAACTTGACATCATTCAATAGTTCATTGGTACCACATGTCTGTATGACAATTGTTACTTGAACTTGACATCATTCAGTAGTTCATTGGTACCACATGTCTGTATGACAATTGTTACATGAACTTGACATCATTCAATAGTTCATTGGTACCACATGTCTGTATGACAATTGTTACTTGAACTTGACATCATTCAGTAGTTCATTGGTACCACATGTCTGTATGACAACTGTTACATGAACTTGACATCATTCAATAGTTCATTGGTACCACATGTCTGTATGACAATTGTTACATGAACTTGACATCATTCAGTAGTTCATTGGTACCACATGTCTGTATGACAATTGTTACATGATCTTTACATCACTCAGTAGTTCATTGGTACCACAGAACTTGACATCATTCAGTAGTTCATTGGTACCACATGTCTGTATGACAATTGTTACTTGAACTTGACATCATTCAGTAGTTCATTGGTACCACATGTCTGTATGACAACTGTTACTTGAACTTGACATCATTCAATAGTTCATTGGTACCACATGTCTGTATGACAATTGTTACATGAACTTGACATCATTCAGTAGTTCATTGGTACCACATGTCTGTATGACAATTGTTACATGAACTTGACATCATTCAGTAGTTCATTGGTACCACATGTCTGTATGACAATTGTTACATGAACTTGACATCATTCAGTAGTTCATTGGTACCACATGTCTGTATGACAATTGTTACATGATCTTTACATCATTCAGTAGTTCATTGGTACCACATGTCTGTATGACAATTGTTACATGAACTTAACATCATTCAGTAGTTCATTGGTACCACATGTCTGTATGACAATTGTTACATGAACTTGACATCATTCAGTAGTTCATTGGTACCACATGTCTGTATGATAATTGTTACATGAACTTGACATCATTCAATAGTTCATTGGTACCACATGTCTGTATGACAATTGTTACTTGAACTTGACATCATTCAGTAGTTCATTGGTACCACAGGTCTGTATGACAATTGTTACTTGAACTTGACATCATTCAGTAGTTCATTGGTACCACATGTCTGTATGACAATTGTTACTTGAACTTGACATCATTCAGTAGTTCATTGGTACCATATGTCTGTATGACAATTGTTACTTGAACTTGACATCATTCAGTAGTTCATTGGTACCACATGTCTGTATGACAATTGTTACATGAACTTGACATCATTCAGTAGTTCATTGGTACCACATGTCTGTATGACAAATGTTACATGAACTTGACATCATTCAGTAGTTCATTGGTACCACATGTCTGTATGACAATTGTTACATGAACTTGACATCATTCAGTAGTTCATTGGTACCGCATGTCTGTATGACAATTGTTACATGAACTTGACATCATTCAGTAGTTCATTGGTACCGCATGTCTGTATGACAATTGTTACTTGATCTTTACATCATTCAGTAGTTCATTGGTACCACATGTCTGTATGACAATTGTTACTTGAACTTGACATCATTCAATAGTTCATTGATCAACATAAAAATTTCATAATTTTATCAGTTTCTTGGATGCTATATAGATTGATTTTGATTTAATATATCGATGACAAATTGAAATATTTTATGGGTATATCTAGCCTTCATGTACCCAGAATTTCAAAAGATTATTTTTCTGTTTTTTTTTCAGGTGAAAGCCTTGCCTGGTTTAGGAACTACCGTAGATGTGATATTGGTTAATGGAAAACTGAAAGAAGGTGATACAGTTATTGTACCTGGCACAGAGGGTCCAATCGTTACTCAAATCCGTGGACTTCTGATGCCACAACCTATGAAAGAGTTAAGAGTTAAGGTAAAATGATTTAATTGGCCTTCACAAGACACTGTAAATTCAAAAGTGTTTGTGTTATATTTTATTATTGACACAAATAAGAGATTAATTATTGCGCATTCAGTATATGTTGTACAAAAAATGTTATCAAAACTCAAAATGCGTTTTTTATGTGAAAACCTATCCTGTGAATCCTATCCTGTGAAACCTATCCTGTTGCAATTCTTGCAATAATAGAATCATCTAAAATAATTTTGGAATTGACAAGGTAAAAATCCAAATTTGGAAAGAAACAAGAAGCAGTATTAAAATAAGAGCAGTTTGAAAAGGCAAATATGTTTAAGATTTTTCTTCTTTTCATTGCTGTTTAACTTTTTACATCCAATACTGTTGATTCATTATTATGCAAGGAATACCAATTTTTCATGGATTTCATGGCTAAAGCTGAACCGCATATTTAAATGCTCAGTGCAGTACAAATTTTCTATACGCTTGTATGCAGAGTTTGGCAAAACCACAAAATCAAATATCCACAAAAAAAATTTTTTTTATTCCTGAATCCAAGAAAATTGGTACCCACGAAAATAAATGAATCCACAGTATTCTTAATTTCCAAATAAAAGAAGAACTGAAGATAACTGTAATGAAAACAGAATCTTGATTAATTTAGTAATCCTAGTAATAATGATGTTTTATTGTTATTTGTAGTCTCAGTGGGAACATCACAAAGAAGTGAAGGCTGCCCAGGGTGTTAAGATCATCGCCAAGGACTTAGACCATGCCCTGGCTGGATTACCAGTGTATTCAGCCAATAAAGACGATGAAATAGAATATTATAAGGTATGGCAGTGTCTTTGAAAGGTTTGGATAGGGATGGGACTGGTCCTCAGGTAGCAAGGTTAAAATATTATAAAAATTTTGACAAGTACTAAGGACATAAATTGGATATATAAAGCAGAACATTAATGTAAGTTGAATTCAACATGTTGTTAGTGGACGTACAGGAGAAGTGATGTCCTGGAATTAGATGATACAAATTGGTTTACCATATATATGAGTCTGGATTAGGTTTACAGAAAAGAGAACAATGGACCAAAAATAAAGGAAAGAGAAAAATGGGGTGTAAAGAATGGAGAATAATGCACAAAAGAATAGAGAGAAAAAAGAAAGAAAATGATGAAAACCCTCCCTCTATCCAGAACCTCCAATAAATGAAAAGAACAGTGTGATTATTGCTACTGTTCTTCCCCTAATTCTTAGTAATAACAGGGAAATCTTCCCCTAATTCTAAGTAGTAACAGGGAAATCTTCAATTAGGAGCTGGACAGTTTTGTATCATAACTGAAAACATAAGCAAAACAATTATCTAGAAATCTTGTGGCAAAAGTTTTCAGTCAATTTTGGGTCCATGTTGAAAATGCGACAGTCTGGTACAAAGCACAATACATTCATATATCATTAACATGTTCTTGACCTGAATTTGTGTGTAATACTTTCTACTTGACACAAAGTGACCATCATTTAATTCAAGTTTATCTTATTTTACAGGAAGAATTATCAGTTGCTTTGAAAGAAGTATTAGGATCTATAAGGTTGGCAGAACGAGGGGTATTTGTCCAGGCTTCAACTCTAGGGTCCATGGAAGCTTTACTAGAATTCCTTAGAACTTCTAAAATTCCTGTAAGTCATTTCAATTTAGGACTGACATTTATAGAGGAAATAAATAAAATATTAACTGATTTGGGTACAATAAATTTCACACATGAGAAGAAATGTGTCACATATATATTAAAGCACCTGCTTGTACTTGTTATCATGTGTCTTGAAGGATGCATTGTTTTGTCAAGTATATAGACGGTCTGTTGGATATCTCTGAATTGTGTAGGACCACTTAACATTATTTAAAATATTTTTAAATCTTGACAATTAGAGTGGGGCTAAAGTTTAGATTCAAATTAAAAAGAAGTGAAAATTATTATTATTGAATTTGCTTTACTTTACAATATATTTTTGTAAGTTCAGAAAATTTCATTTTTATACGCCCGTTTACGGGACGTATTATGGTATACCGTTGACCGTCTGTCCGTCCGTCTGTCTGTCCGTCCGTCCGTCCGTCCGTCGTCAACATGTCGGACATTAACTCAAAAAAGCTTTTACCAATATGCATGAAACTTTGGTGAATTGTTTATATCTATTGACGTGAGCTCCCTTTCGTTTTTTATAAATTTCAGATTTACCGTTTCCAGTTTTCAGACGATAACTAAATAATGCTTTCAGCAGTTCTCATGAAACTTTGGTGAATTGTTTATATCTGTTTATGTAAGCTCCCTTTAGAATTTTATAAATTTTAGATTATACATTTCTGAGTTATAGGGTTTTATTCATTAAAAAAGGGGGGATTTTCCAGTTTTTCGACAATAACTCAAAAATGCTTTCATCAGTTCTCATGAAACTTTGGTGAATTATTTATAGCTATTGATGTAATCTCCCTATTGATTTTCATAAATTTCAATTATGACATTGAGGAGAAATTGAACTTTATTTGTTTATAGTCTGACAACAGATTTATTTAGTATTGCGCAACAGCACAGTGTATTGCACAACAGCAAGAAATCTTTAATTGAATATAAATTCAATTCATATAACCAGTTTCAAGTTCTTTGACTACATTTATACAGAAACCTTTAATATGTCAAATATTTAATTACAATCCAAATTCAGACCGGTATCAAGCTTGAATATTGTGTCCATTTTTGCCCCAACTGTTCAGGGTTGAACCTCTGCGGGCGTATCCAGCTGCACTTAGCGAAGCAGTTTATTACTGAATATGTGTAAATTTATTCTAAGAAAAGTTGACTTAATGCTTGGCTGCTCTGCAATATTATTGACATTAGAAAACAACAGAGAAAAAATTCCTGTGAATATTTGTTGAAATGGGCTCATTTTGCATTAACTAATTAGCAATATTATAAATGTGGCAACAAATTAGTTAAGGTATATAATTGTTCTATGTAAAGTACTCTGAAAATTACAATAGAATTTACTGGGAATTATTTTATTTTTCGTTGGTAGAGGAAAAAATTGCTATTTCCAGGGTAACTAATTTTGTGGTTTCAACATTTTGTCCTATTGCAGTACCTGTAACTGAAAATTTCTGTTTAAGTATTTAATTCTATGGTTTTTCTCCATGCATGAAATTACAAAAATTTGGTATCCAACATTAATGAAAAGTGTATAAATATAATACATGTACTATTTAAATGATACATGATATTGCATTATTTCAGTATGCTGGTATTAATATAGGACCTGTACATAAAAAAGATATAATGAAAGCATCTGTAATGTTAGAACATGACAGTCAGTAAGTATAAGTATACGAAAATACGTGAAACAGTCCTTCGTTTCACAAAAAAATCTTACAAAAAAAGCGTTAATCATGACCATTCAGTATACTTACAATCAATTTTAGTCATAAGATTTTATGTGAAACACAGGTAAGGACAAAATCCATTAGCATAGGAGAAGTGGATACAAACTTTCAATGTACTTTCATGAAAACCTAAATGGTAGAACATTTTACTGTCCATTATTTACGAGAATTTGAAGGGGTGTAGAAATATGGTCTATAACCATTGATCAACCATCCGTTATTCACCAAGATATGTTAAAACGTTCTTACCCAATTGCAAACAAATTGTTTTTTGTTTTTATGCGTCGTTGGGTTGTTGTCTCATTGATGTATTACCCACAACTCTTTCATCTGTATCACATATCTTTGGAGTAACAATGAATTAAAATATTTTATGAAAGGCATATTTTAATCATTTTGTTGATTTCATGCATGATATATATTTATTTACCCAATTAGTATTCCTTGATATTAATGTAACTAGAAAAGTAACTTGCTGACCAAAAAGTACAAAATGTCCTATAGTGTAAGGGATGATGATGTAATTGATAAACTGGAAACAAATTTCTATATATATATATATGAGAATTCCTTTTGTAGATATGCTGTAATCCTGGCATTCGATGTGAAAGTGGAGCGTGAAGCACAAGATTTGGCAGATAGTTTAAATGTGACAATTTTCACTGCAGACATAATATATCATTTATTTGACAAATTTACTGCCTATCGTGATGAACTTAAAAAGAAAAAACAAGAAGAATTCAAACACGTAGCAGTGTTCCCTTGCAAGTTACGTGTGTTACCGAACTGTATATTTAATTCTCGAGATCCTATTGTGTGTGGAGTTAGTGTGGAAAGTGGATTTGTTAAAGTTGGAACACCAATCTGTATACCGTCACAACAGGTGAGTTGTTGAAGTGTTAATAAGCTTAAGATTGTTGGATGTTTGAATATAGACATTGGTTCTGACCATCAAGGGTTAAGAGATGCATCTCAAATAAATTGATGATAATCATGTATACTTCTTACATATGTTACTGATGGGTTACATTTAAAACGACTTATGTTTAATTGCATGACATGATTTTCAGTACAAAAAAATTAATTGTTGTCTTATCTTAACAGCTGCTGGATCATGGCTGAATTGGCATTTGGAATAACCAGTAAACTTTGAATATGAACCATATATGTTAAAAGTTACTTATTTGGTCAATTTCATATGAATTTTTCATTAATCATTTGAAAGATGTACATATGTGTCATATTTGAGCAATTAAAAAAATCAGATGCATTTTGAAAAACTGTTGAAATTTTGCATTTGGTGATATGTTTTATAATTATAAGCCTGGTTTCTGTCATGAGTTTTAATGAAGATATTTAACTGTAAAAATTGTCCCCACTTCTTCAAGGTTGTTACTGTTAGGCATGCTCTACAATAGCACATCAGTTATCATGAAAAAGGTCTCTTGAACACTTGTATTCCATATGAACTCTGTGTTTTGACTTTGGTAGTTTCCTGGGGTTGCCTTTGAAGTTCTCTCCTATTCATTTGTGATATGAAAAGAGAGGCAAAAGATACCAAAGGGATATTTAAACTCATAGTAGAAAATAAACTGACACTACCATGGCAAAAAAACAAAATCAACCAAAAGACAAACAATAGTACATAACATAGAAAACTAAACCATATTGATTTAGAAGATCATTTCCTTGATGGCTGTTGGAAGATTCCTGGGTTCAAAAACATTACATATATGAAACAATAATATCAGAATACATTACTACAATAAGGTTTCTTTTGGAATTTATACACGAAAATAACACAAAAGTCAGATAAAATCTGAAAATTCCCAAGCCTTTCTTTGCAGAGTAGTTCCTAAAAATGGTTGCTACCAAATCAGATTGTAAAATTGTCAGTCGATGGAGGCAGAATAATTATGTTTACATTTTACAAGTAATGTCAGATGTTTTGTAAACAAGTTATCTTACTGATCTATACTTGGATCCTTCTAGTCAAACAGGTGATCATTATTATAGAGATAGATAAACAATAATGTATATACAAATGATTATTATTAGAAATTTGGTCAAGGGTGTTTGCATAATTATCAAACTTTTTAAGTTTTGAAGATTTCCTGTAGAATGGTAAAGTTTGTTTATGCTGAATCTACAATATCTTGTTTTAACTTCAGTCAACGAACTTGGTCAAGGATGGCTGTCAAAAAAAGTTTGAAATTTTTGCTACTAAAAATAGGAAATAACAGACGGTTATGAAGCAAAGAAAACAGTATCGAGTTTCAAACAAAATAGTGATGTCAGTCAGATTTTTACTAAAGAAAACAATAGAAATCGGCAGAAGGTCAAACAAATTTGCAAAAAATGTATTATTGATTCTGAATGCACTTTTTTTTAATTTTTTATGGTATACATCTGTAAAGGATAAGGTAAATGAATCAGGCATTGATATTGTACCATTTCAATATTTTACAAGTCGAATTAATACAAATTCAGCAAAATCCTGCATGATGCGAATAAAAGGAAAAATGGGAATATGTTATACAGGTTTGAGTATAGAAAAAATATAGTAAAAATCTGAATGAGTGTCGATTATTAGTTTATAAAAAAAACAGGGATACTTTGAAATTCCTAAAAGATTTGTATGACATAATAAGTTTTGGCATAGATGATGGAGCACCTTCTCTGCCAGACTTTTATTAAACTTTTAGACATTAGATATTTTGTCTATTGTTGAACATCTAAATGTTTTTTTCTAGTATCAATAGTTGTTCTTTATAAAAAAGTTCATTCAAGAGATGTTATATTTTCACAATGATAGCTTTGATATTTTTTTGTTTCTTCCCAAAGTTTTGAGGTAAATTTGTGAAGTTTTACGGAATTTTAAACAACAATATTAGTTTTCAAAAATAATAACAAAATAATTGGTTTTGGACATCATGATTAGGAAAGAAAAGGGAGGGGGGAACTTCAGATCTAATGTATAATTTTCATTTGCATGTGCCTTATAATAATGGCTCATTTTTTTTTTACAATTTAATGAACAGGTACAAGTTGTATAAGATATCAGCCTTGAATAAGACTTCCTTATTTATTGGTGAAGCTATAAGAACTGACATGAAAACCAAAACGTGAAAACACTTTCATAAATTAGGATGATGTAGGTAATGATTTATCATCAGACAAGATGAAGATCCCCATCCACAGGTGGCAGAGATTTTAGTTTATTGCAGACAAGATAATTTGTCACAGGTGTAAAAACGATTCCAACGGAAGTTCTTTGATGTTTTCACACAAAATATAATCCACATTAAATCTTCATTCTGCAAAATTGTCTATCGCTCAATCAGTAGCGCTGATGGTTGACCTCCGGTGCATCTAAAGTGAGGCATTTTGGGTAATTAATTGCGTTTATTGATGAGGAAAACAGCCAAGATAGGATTGGCACATCCTCTTATGATGAAGAGATAGTTTTTTGTATAGATATATGTTAGTTAATGACAAGATCAACATCCTTTGATTGGTGAATGAATTCATTTCTGATTCATTAGAATGGGGAGGGTTCTTTTGTATAATTAAACCCATATTTTTAATTGCTGTCTTATCAAGCAAATCTTGTACATGGAAATATTGGTATATTAAAACTTGGCACATTTGCATGTATATTCTCTTATCTGCTTGAGATAGAGGCTAAAAACCAGTTGTCTGTGTGAACCATTGTATGTCTGTGCATACTTGAGTTTTTTTTGAATGGATAATGTTATTCTTCTACTGCAAAATATAAACATGTACAAAATGTAATCATACCCTAGCTGGTGATAACTAAGGTATATAATGAGCATGGTTTGAGACCCAGGGTGTTTGTATACCCTCAAATCATATATCCTGATCTCCCATAAACAACTCATTAAAACCAATGATATTCTAAGAGATATCCTACAGTTACCTGATGCTAATGTCCATCTATTTTAATTTTTATTGGTATGAATTATGGGGGTTCCATTAGTAATTTGCCACTGGAAGATAAACAAACAACAATCAATCAACCAATGTTAATTTTTTGTGATTTGGTTCTGTCTGGCAGGGTTTATCTGACCTTGACCTCATTTTCATGATTCATTGGTCAATGTTAAGATTTGTTGATATGTCTGTTATTTATACTATTTTTCCTTTTGTGCACTCCTGTGTTATCTCCCATAACAAAACATGGTCATACTGTTTTGAGGTGTAAGCATCTGGAATCTGCTAATCCTTTTCAACCATGGTCTTTTGTAACTAAACCCAACGTTGGGCACCAAATGTAACAAGAGAGTACAATTCTTGCTAGAAAATCATATTGTCACCTCCAGGAATTGAACCCACGAACTTGATTGATCAAAGTCACCGTTCTAACTGATTGGGCTAATGAAGTACAGTGCATTTTGCTTTTGTCCTAATTTATCAAATAAAAAAGTTGTCTTCAAAAAGATTTTTTTGTTTTCCATTTTGTTTGAATTTACCTTCAAGTATGAGTGAATTATCAAAATTCAAACTCTTCTAACAAAATAATTGTTTTGCAACAAAAAACTACAGTAAAAAGGTTACTAAGGATGAAAAATCAAATAGGAATTGCACATAGGGATCATGTACTTAAAAAATTGTAAGAGTTTCATAGACAACCATTCGCTGGTAAAGAAAATTAAGATGGACTGTGGAGAGTACAGACAAACAAATTGAAAAAAGTACCTGAACACTATCGCTTATGGAAAATGAAGTACAAAGATCATTCATACAGGAATATTTGTAATGTGATTTTCCTTGTTTCAATTTCTTTTTTATGAATGATTGTTGAGCGTTGTACCAAAATGAACCCAAGTAGCCCTGCCTAAAATACTTGTGTAATGGCTTCAATCAGCAGCTGTTACACTTCATAGGTTCTGACGTCAAACAGCTGAATTCTGTGCCAAACTGCATCAGTACAATTGGCACGTTCCATCTTATAAATAAAGGGGAGAAAATCTTCGCTCTTTAAAAAAAATACAGTAGCTGGAAATAATTAAACTCATCAATCAACTTTTCTTTTTTTTTTGTATTTACATATCAGGATTTTTTTCTATTAGCAGAAAGTAATAAATGATTAGATATGATCAGAATGAATGTTTTCTTGGTATTTTTATATCATCAAAAATTTGTGATCACAGTTTTTAGGACATTAATATTTGTCAGGTTAATACAATGATCTGTAATGTGTATCAGAACATCGATGTTATCTTTGAAATAATGATCAATTGCCTTGATTACATTCTCTTCTGTCAGTTTTCAATGATCACAGCATTTGACTTTTCTGTGCCTAGACTTTTTCCGTTTTACATTTTAAGTACTGATTTTTTTAAAGAATTTGAAATTTTCAGGAATTGGTAGTTAATTTGTAGGTTTCAGTTCAGGTATCAACATTAGCTGTTGATTCTGGTTTATTGTTTGCATTCAAATTTGCAAATACTTTGATAGAGGCAGGCAGAACTATGATGAAAATCATAAAACATGATATAAAAAAAAGTCCTTAGTTGTTCAGATTCTCTGTAGAAATCAGTTACCATTAAGAACTTGATTCCATTTACAGATGCTGTTGAAACAGAACTGCCATTTTTAAGTTTTCACTTTTTTCTCTTTATACTTTTTACCTATACAAGGAAGTTTGAATGTGAAAAGAAATACTTGTAAGAGTCACAGGTGTTGTAAGGAGTCAGAAAGAGAGGTGAAAAAATTGAAGAAATGCTTAGAATAAATTGCAGGAAATATTTTATGCACTTAGGAAACAGTTGAATTGAAAGAATGCTGTTGTAATGGTTCAGTTTTGGCTGGGTTGCGCAAAATGGCTCATTATGGTGATGAATGGTGTGAAAAATGGTA